CCCATCCTCCCACCCCCACCCCCCACTGCCAGCTGGGATTTGGACAGCCCATCTGAGCTTTCTCACAGGTGGGTCGTCAGGCAGCCATGCTGACACCTGTTGATAGCCTTTGTACACCCATGGAACTACAATTCCAACTTAAACCGCCCCCACACCCTTACCTGTCTAAGAGCGGGGAGCTTGGCTTTAACAGCAGCACAGACACCAGGCCTCCAATAGGCTTAAAGTGCCAACCACTTCACCCATAAAGGAAAGGGAAGGGTGATGGTGTGGTCAACGAGGCCAGGGATACTATGGACAGGTATGTTTAAGGGGTTGTAGCAGCTATAGCCTCTATTGTGTGTGTGTGTTGTTTTTGTTGTTGTTGTTATTGTTGTTGGGTTTTTTTTTCAGTTTCTTTAAAAGTTGGAGTGGGCTTTTCACCTAAGGTGGGATACTCCTCCATGCTGCCTGACCAAGGTTTCCAGGTGTCTGGGAGAGAAGGAAATGTCAAAAGGGTGGAGGGTCCAGGCGTCTTCCCAGTCTCTTAAGGGATGGACATCATCTCAAGTCAAGGTTTCCTATCTATGTAATCTCTCAGTTACCCCTCCCACCACTATGCAAAGCAGCCGGGTCCACAGGTCACCTCTTCCTCTTCTTTTTGAGCGAGAATCCGGAAGAGGATGAACTGCCCAAGGCCTGTGTCGAGGCTGGCATGGCCATGCCTTCTCATTGCTCTTTCCTGCGGCTTCATTGTCCTTGGAGGTCAGTTAGAAAGGGCAAAGGAATCTCTAGGACCATAGTGTGAAGGGATACATCCCAGACACCCACCAGAAATATCTTCTGACTCCCCTACTGATTCTTACCTTTGTATTATTAATCACTCTGCTCTCCCTAAATCCCTTCTTTCCATAAATTTTGGGGAATCGAAACTTACCCTGACTCTAACCTTTTTTCGGACCCTATTTTCAAAGTAACAGATTCCCTCATGGAAAACAAAAGTGAACAGCTGACCTCAGCACCTGTTGGACATTGAAGGCTTTGGGTCAGGTGACAGGGCCCCAGCCTTGCCTCTCTTTATTGAACATCAGACCTAAAAAGAATTAGGCAGCCTCTGCAGGGAGTGGTCACTCCCTTAAGGTCACTCACTTGCCTTAAGATTCTGTTTCTCGGCACCATCCTGGTACCCTGAGCTCTTCCTAAGGTAAACGGCTGGCTCAGATATGCTGCTCAGCTACTTCTTCATAGCGGTCATGAATTTCCCGAGTTCTGTTCTGGGCCTGTTCCCATGGACCTCGTGGTCTCAGCCCCTGCTGTTAGGAGACCGGAAGTACTATTCTTCCCGTGTGTTTCACCTGGTTAAGACCACATGTCCTTCCGGGCACTTCATGTCCCCGGCCTCTGGGACCCCAGAGCTGAGAGGCTCCATTCTCTGGCTGGGTTGTGCTGACATGGCAAGAGGAAGAAACGGGATGAAGTCGGGAGAAGATTTAGAGTGGAAAGAGGGAATTCTCTCTTCCCCACGATGGCAAGGGTCTAGAATGTTGGGAGCCAGCTGCCAAATGTCCATCTCAGCAGACAGAATGTCTATTCTACCAGCTTGTTTATTGAGTCCTTTGTCCTTTTCCCCTGTGACTTCGACACTCCTTTAGTATCCACGAAATACAAATGGTCCCTGAGGGGCCGGAAGCGGGTGACAAACAATAGTTATTCTGTGAGCTTGTGTCCGCCAGTTCCGGGCTGCCTTGTTCAGTAGAATGACGAAAGGACCCTGAATAAGAGTTGGCCAAACCGGCTCTGAGCTTAATCACATACTAGGAAGGAGGAGAAAATTGGGACCTGGGGTGCTTGGTTTCCTGCAACATGCTGAATGTGCCTGTGCTCCCAGATTATCTTGAGACCTTGAGGAAATAAACCCACCACTTTTGCTGTTGGGTCTGTGAGAGGCCAAGATCCAAAGCTAGGGAAAGAGTACCTGCGAGGCGGGCGGATCACCACTAGGCGGCGCTTCAGAGCCAAGTAGCGAGGTGCAGTCTGCGAGGTCCTGCAGGTCTATGGTGGTGAGGGCTGCGCGGGGAGATCGGGAGACACGCACCCAGCGAACCCTAAGCTTCTCTGCCAGATCGCCGCCAGGGCCCTCTACCAGGACCTCGGAGCCCGGGGGGAGGGGGCTGCGGTCCGCGTGTGCCGCACCCACCCGGCATGGATAACTGGGGGTCGGGCAGCTGCCCCGGGGCTCACCTGGCAGCGCAGCGGGCTCGGAGTCAGGGGGATCCTCGTACACCGACACTGGGCTGTCGCCACCGCATCCCGAGAAGGGTTTCCACGGAGGAACGAACTAGCCGGGCACAGAAACGAGGAGCTCAGGTCAGCGTTCGGGACGCGGGGCTGGCAGACTCTGCCAGAGCCAGGACCGCGGAGAGCATCCCCACCTTCCTCTCCGGCTTCCCGGGCTTGCCGAGGGGCCGCCGCGACAGGTCCAGCATCCTGTTGGGACAGATGCTGTCGAAGGCCCGGCGTCCGGCTGCGCTGCCCTCGCACGCCTGCATCCTGGGATGGCGACCCACACCGGCGCTGCTGCACCTGTTGGTGCCTGGGATGGGCGACGGCGCGTGGAAGGAGCGGAGGGAGGGAGGGCCTCGGGGAGAAGGACAGCGCGGGAGGGGCGACTCGCGCCTGAGCGCCAGAGGTGGCGCCTTCAGCCCGGGACAATCTGCGCGCGGGCGGAGGCGTTAACCAACCTGGCAACCCGGCTTCCCTCGGGAGCTGCGAGCGAGCGAGCGCGGGGCCCGGCCCGCGAGCGCCCTTTGGCGCCGCGACATCCTGGCTGTGCCAGGCGAAGGTGGCAGGGAAGGGGAGTTGAGCGGAGGGAGGGCGGGCTCCACCGGTCCCTAGCCTTCCAATTTATGGACAGCAGAGTTGTGAAAGTTAACGATTCTTTGACTTTTCTTACCACCCCAGACACAAGGCACACAATAAATGTGGGGTGGCAGTCGCCAAAGACGAACTCAGAAAATTCCCCAGAAGGCTCTAGAGGGTCCTCAAATCTGAACAACAGTCGATTTGGGCGTATGGCTCTCATTTGGTCTCTCATTCTTGCTGCAGTCAAGAGCTTGGCTCTGACCTGGATCCTTGCAACTTCTCCAGGAATGCTGTCTACGCATATTTTTTAAGGATCAAGAAAAGTGACAATGCTGAGGCAGGGGGATTACCACGAGTTTGAGACTAGCTTGGGCTACATACTGGTCAATAGGCCAACCTGAGATAAAAGACTGCCCCAGAAAAAAGGCGGGGGTAGTGACATTTATTCCAGTTTCTGAAAAACCCTACTGTGGGTATTTGCAAATTCTCTAAAACCCTGGTGGTCTTAGCTGGCTATCCTAGCATTTGGCTGTCCTCTTTACAGCTGGCCTGCCCCTGAATCTGAGTCTTCTAGAAAGAGACATGTCTCAGAATGGGCATCTTTGGGTGAGGCGAACTTTTCCAGGACCACTCCCATCAGCTAAGTGTAAACAAGCATCAGGAATAGGAATTTACACACCTTCTACTGCTATTTGCACCCACTGGCTGGATTAAGTATCAAGATATTCCCAGCAGTGGTGGATAACAGTGAGTAAACTGTAAAGCATCTGCACTGACAGGGGCTGAGTGGGGAGTGGGCACGGGGAGGAAGCATTGGCTTGAGCGTGAAAATGTTCGAGAATGGGGATTGCAGACCAGATATGCCTTGAAGGAAAACAGATTCCCACCTCAGCAGGATTGGGAAGAGGAGTTGGTTTCATGTTGTGCCCAGTGGCTAGTGCTTAGGTAAATTAGGGTTTTTTTCTTCTTTTTTTCTAAAGCAACCTTTTCAACCAGCTTCCCATCACCTGTTCCTGGCTGTCCCCTAGTTCTGTAGAATTTAGGAGACAGCATGGAAATACCAGAGGGAACTGTTAGACACCATAGTGAAGCTAACAACCCCCAAAGTCACTGCTTTCCATGAGGGCCAGACCTCTAGGGTCTCCTTGTCACCTCAACTAAGGGCCCCAGATGCTTAGGAGTTAAACAGGTGACTGGGTCCTCACCCCCCCATCTTGCACCACCAAATGTCAGCTGTTCTGCTCCCTAGGAGAGCGCTCTAGCCAGTTGAGCCTGTCAACATATCCAGACAGGAGGGGCCCAGCTGCCAGAGGACCGTGGTGGAGGAACACAAAGGCTCTAAATTTTGGAGTTTGCATTTTATTCATCATGCATTAACTTACCCTAAATGCAGAGGCACAAACTGGGGTTTCTTACCCCAAACTTAAGTTTTCAATCATACAAAATTTTGAGAGAAAAGAAAAAACCCTACCTTTTTTTTTTTTTTTTTTTGCTTTCCTGAATAATTTCTCCCAGCACTGTGCAGACTACCACTATTGTTTCTTGGGTGCTCTGTGCTAGGGGTATGTGATCATTTCACACTGCAGTCCTAAGGATGGGTACACTTAACCCAGTTTTAGGGATGAGAAGTGAGCCTAAGGTCTCCTAGCAACTTGGCTCCACGGCTACTCATTTAATCACTCTTCTCCCCACCCCCACCACAGAAACAACCTCACTTAAGCTTAACCCCGAGGTTCACCGGAACATTCAAGTTGAAGGATTTGCTGCAGGTGGTGGAGCAGAGGGGCAGGGACTGCGGCTGACAATGGCAATGTGTCTGAAGAAATGTGACAACGACTGAGCCACGACAGCCCAGGAAGCTTCCCATTGCCCAACCGAGCCTCCCCTCTGTAAATCGAGTCCTGTAGCAAGTCCAGAAGCAAAGACAACAGTGCTGCCTTGCTGAGTCCAGGAGGACTAAACAGAGAATGAGCTACCTACCACAGGAAGAGGGCTTTAGAAGAGTTTCCAAACGCATAAACAGGAGAAGCTTAGCAATGTGACTCAGGACAAGACTCAAGGATCACATGCCTCTAAAATCCTGTGTCCCAATGTCTGGAAAGTGGGGCAAGACTGCTAATAGCATTGTTGAGTGAAATAAATGTTGAACATATACAGGATACGTTGCAAGTAGTCAATATATTCTTTATTACTATCACGCCATTGTTACCCTGGGCTCATACAGCAGTGTCAACTGAACCATGAATGTAACTGCAGGGCAAATGGCCCAGGTTGCAACAGCTGTAAGAGTATGCAAAAACTTTCCAGCATCTCTTGGGGTGCACCAGGGATTGTCTCTTGCTTTGTCCACTGCTAGTGTGCCTACACAGTCCCCAAAGCTTCCCAGATCAGTGAGTAGCAGGCACTGCCCATGTGCACAACACAGACTACAATGACTTCTAACTCGGTCTCATACTCCTTGAGCCACTGGCATGAGAAAGGGGGTTCAGCCTCCAGACTGGAGGGGGTTAAGATGCAGACAAGCAACCTTGGCTTGTCTGATTACTGGAACAGTGGCATATAAAATCTTGCTGGATTGTTTTCTCGGAGTTGCTAATTCCAGGGTAAAAACAAAATGTTGGGAGCCAAGGACAGACTCTGAAATCAACAACCCCTGCCCGACATCCCCTGAAGGACAGAGCAGACAACAGCAGCATCCTGACAAGCCAGGACTGTCACCTGCCCTTTGTGTACTGCAAAATAAATAGATTCCGTTATTGTGCACTATTTACAAGCAGGAGTCCTGAGCTTCTCTTTGGATTAATACTGCACACTCTCCTGAAGGCACAGAGCCAGGGTCAGGGAATAAAAGAAACTAAGGGTATGCTTTTTATTTCCAACTCTGGGGCAGGCTGCACTTCTCCCAGATCTGGGGAGGCAGCATGTGCGTCAGAGAGGAACTGTTGATGGACACGAGCAGCTGCAGCTTGCCCAGGCAGTCTTGCAATGCAGCCTCGGGGTGCTCTCCCAGGCGAAGGTCTAGCGAATGAGGGAGCTGCAGCATGCGGTCAGCCAGTGCCAGGCAGCAGATGGCCAGTAGGGAAGGTGTGTAGTTGGTGAAAGCGTAATCGGCCAGGCTCAGCTCCGCCACTCCCCGAGCCAGGGTTTGAGCTTCTAAGGCTCCAATGACCTCAGCCTGCCCGGCCTCCACTCGAGCGTGAGTAAAGTGCTCCAGGAAGAAGTTGATGGTGGGTGCGCCCAAACTGAAGTGCAGTTTGTGTAACACGATGCACTCTAGGTTGCACAGCTGCTGTCGGGAGAAAGCGCCACCGCACAGGGCCAGGAGCTGTTTCACTCGAGGCGGGTGCACCTCTACCTGCAACAGAGTGCACTCTGGTTCCGGTCTGGAGGTTTCGAGGGCCCCAAGTTCGCCCAGTCTTAAATCAGGGAGAAAACTGTGACTTGAACTATATATCCCTTCCAACCAGCCTCACACCTTCCCACGATTCCACCCTTAGACCACACAAGGCTGCTTTCGCTACTGCTTCTTTATCTAAAGCCCACCTTCAAGAAGAGAGAGAGAGAGAGAGAGAGAGAGAGAGAGAGAGAGAGAGAGAGAGAGAGAGAGTGTGTGTGTGTGTGTGTGTGTGTGCGCGCGCGCGCTAGAGAGTGTGTGTGAGAGAGAGGTGGGTTTTTTGCTTTTGTTTTTCGAGACAGGGTTTCTTTGTATATAGCCTTGGCTGCCCTGAACTAGCTCTGTATGTCAGGCTGGCCTTGAACTCAGATCCACCTGCCTCTGCTTCCCAAGTGCAGGGCTTAAAAAGGCATATGTACTGCCTGCAAAGCAAGTTTCCAAAGGACTTAGGAGTGCCACAAAGCTTTGGGTGGGAGGCTGGCTACAGCCTGTCTCTTTGAGATCTGAAAGCATCAGTGACTCTTGAGTAAAAATATACGAAGTTAAGGCTATGATGTAAAAAGACCTATGAGCATTTATCTAGATGAGCCCAGCCACCCAAGCCTGAACCATGCCCAACTGGAGGAAAGGTTGGCTCCAAACACACCCCACCCTACGCCTGTACCTGCTTGCAAGCGATGAGCAGACAGGTGACCCCGAGCAGCTGGAAGCAGTCTGCGGCTACCGGGGTGGTAAGGAGGAAGCGGTCCAGAGTGTTCACCGTCAGGCACAGGGACTCGAATGAGAGGCCGAACTGGCGGTGGACTGGTAAGAGCCAGCTGAGCAGTTTACAGCGAGATTCTGCTGTCACCTGCCGGGAGGGAGAGGGGAAGCGTGCTGCAGCGAGGAGCCAAGATAATCCAGGGAGCTTCCCAAGGGAGGTAGCGTGGGAAAGGCTAGATGCATTGAAAAACGGGAAACACATGGGAGTACGGGTCTGGCTGAGTCCAGGAGTCCCAGAACGCCTGGGCTCGCGCTAGGTACTGTACGAGGTACTGCATCAGGGGTGGGGGGAAAGGTCCATTTACAGATGTGCAAATAGATTTAGGAGTTCGGGCTCTAACCTAGAAACTGTCCGACTCCTCTGAACTCTAATAATTAACCTCTTCTACACCCCCCCCGCCCCCGAACTAACGTACAGGCTTCAGCTATCCACACCCCCACTTTTCTCCATCTAAAGAGTGAGGTCAGTGGCCCAATCCTCGAAGATCCCCTTTGCTCCTACTGATGGCAGAATAATGGGCTGCAAGGACTAGGGCGCTGCGACGGGCAGACAGCAGCAAAGGAGACAGTGAGCCTGCTAGAGGCAAAAGCGCGAAGGCCGGGGCCTGGCTCTGTCAACCGCCTCACTTGTGGCTGTCGCGCCAGCGACTCCCGCGGATGGAAAAGGCTCTCCTGCGCCTTGCGGAAATCGTAGCAGCTCTGGCCGTAGTCTCGGAAGGTCTGGAGATCTAGCGCGGTCAAGGGCGGAGCAGGACCGAGTAAAGAGCTGCAGTCCCGCGCCGCAGACGCCGCAGGGCTGTCCGCGCCATCCGAGCTAGAGCTGGGGGACTCGAAAAGGTCACAGACGCCGGAATCTCCCGGGAGCGAACACGAGTTCAGCGGCCGCAGCGGCTCCTTCCTCCGGAGGCGCGGGCGTCTGCTCTTCTTCACTGGGGCGCGGAGGTTCTGATGGCTGTCCCGCCCCCCGGCTCCCGCAGCGGGGCTGGCCGGGCTGGCAGGACAAGGGGTCACCATGATACAACCGGGTAGCCGCTCTGGCACCCACAACGCCCGGCTGCGGCGGGCCTTGAGCGTCGGCGCGAGGGATGCGGGTCGGGTCGGGTCGGGTCGGGTCCGGCTGCTAGCGCAGCTCTAAGTACCCGGCCTGAGCCTTCCCTCCACCACACCCCCCGCCTCTCACTGGCTGAGCCCTGAGCCGCCCCCGAGCCGCGCTTTCCTCGAGGCAGGGCCACTCCCCTCGCGTGCGAGCAACGCGTGGCCCCCGCGATGGCGCAGGGGGGAGGAGGCGTTGCAACTCGCGCCTCGCACCCGCCTTCAGCTGCGGGCTCCGCGCGCGTCTCACGTCACCCTGGCAACCGCAGCCCGGGTCCTGGCGCCAGCTGCGCGCGCTGAGTAGAAAAGCTTGAAGACCAAGGTCCACGCAGGTGAGCGGTGGGTCAGCTGAGCGATCCAGCTGCCCCCAGGAAAAGGGGAAAGGCTGCTCCTGGGGGGATAGGGAGGGGACAGGGCCGCTCCCTTGTCCTTGGTTAGATTGTCTGGCCTGGTGTGATCATCTTCTGTGTCGACCCTTGTCCAGGTGGGTCTGCATCTGCGCACCAGACCAAGCTCGGGCTAGATTCTGTCAGTACAAAGATCCATAAAAGGGCCGTGAACTCATTTGAGTCTATTTTAGTTCATTCCGCTAGTCTCGGGGAGCCGAGCTTTGACATATTACTCGCATCTGCTAAGTAGGTACGTGGGAGCCCGTCCAGCCAGCCAGGTATTTGTGATCCAACACCATAGAAAACTGCCTCAAACGATCGTCGCACAGCAAGTCCCTGTCCCTCTGGATACCCTGCTCTGCACTTTTCATCCCAAGCCAAATAAGCCAAGGCTGTAGCCGTTTAAGAACGTAATGTCACAGGTGGCATTTCTGTCGAATTTCTCACAGTGTGTTCTGCTTTAGGTCATTAGCTTCTAACTCTCGGCCTTTCCAAGCTGGACCTAGCGCCCTGGGGAGGGCAGAGAGGAAACAAAGGAATGCAGAGCTGGGGGTGGGGCGCACAGGCAGGAGAGAGAGAGAGAGACTGAGTCAGAAAGAATGTGACACCTTCTCCGGGCCCAGCTCGTTTACTCCAGTCCCGCGTCCTGACCCAGGCTGGAGTACTTCACTATCCCGAATCCTCGGGAGAGACGGTAACACTTTAGAAGGACTCCTAGGGCACAAAGGGCTTCAAACGAACTGACTTTGTAATCATTTCCAAATGCGAGACACCTACCTAGATAAGCTCAGCCAGAACTTCACAGACACACGCCAATGAACGTCCTCACTTATTCCAAAGACAGCTGAAAAGCTTTTGTAGTCTACATGCAATGCAAATTCTGCCCCTAGAAATCAGGCAGAGAAGGTGAGAGGAAAAGGCTGGATTTCAGATTCTCTATAATCCTGAAGGAGCTTTGGGTTCTCCCAATTTAAATCGCAGCACCTGTGATATGGGGGTTAGCTGAGAATCACCTGAGGGTTTTTCAACTTGCAAGTAATTGCCTGGCTTTCTGGCTCCTGTCAGGCTGTTGGTGGCTAACATAGGGAAACCAACTGAATCTACAGAAAGGGGGGGGTCACATATCAAACTTCTGCCAAGGAGAGTTTTCTGGGTGAGGGGGAAGGATCCAGGAACGCAGACTCTGCCTTCTGGTGCAGCTGGAAAGAGCATAAAGTAAACTGTAGGGACCAAATGTTCCTATTTAATGGTCATGTTCAGCAAGGCGTTACTTCTTGGTCTCTATTTCCTCGTCTGTAGAAGGATAATACTTGCCTCGAGGGTCAAGGAAAGTAAAAAGTCCTTCTGCAGTGTGGAACAGAAGGGACATTTGGAAGCTGATCCTGAGGAGTCAGGAACGTTGTTTCTTAGGATGGATGTAAATTGAAGCCTTATGGATCTGAATGTGGGTGTGAACCTCTGAAGCCCCGCCCCCTCCCCTCCCCTCCTCCCCCTGCTGAAAATGGTGTTTTCCTAGGGTTTTGCTTGTACTTAGAATGGATCTCAACTGATGTTGCCTGAGTTCCAGCCAGATGAATCTATTCAGTGTTTGTGCAATGCTTGCTGTGTTCAATGCTGTGTCTAACACAGGGATGCTGATTGGCACCTTATAGAGCTGATGTTCTGTTGGGATAAAGAGCCATTTGTCATATTATTGAATGTGATAAAGGTGGTAATAGAGGATTCACTGGTTTTAAAGCTGCTGGGAAGGGGTGGGGGGTGGGGGGAGAAACATGACCCAAGATATCCACTTAAATTCAAATGTCAGATAAATAACAAATGTGTTTTTCATAAGTATGTCCCAAATATTGTGTGAGTCATAATTATAAAAAATATTTGTCTGAAATTCAAATGTTACATGGAGCATTATACCATAACAACAGGCTATTCTTTATCTGACATTCAAATTGGTTGGGCCATCCCGACATTTGCAGGACTTACATGGGTGTCAAGCAGCTTCATAGCCGATCTTGCTTCCCAGCCTCACTGGGAAGGGTAACCCAACACTGATGGTTAAGCCAAGGTAGAGGAGGAAGGGGGACATAAGAAAAGAGGAAGATTTGGGCAAGAGTATTCTATGTAAAAAGGCTGTAGGAGGAGCTGGAAGCAGAGTTGGGGACATTTCCTACAGATGTGGGTAAGGGCCTGTCTAATGCAGAATGGCCATTGCAGAGAGAGGCGGTAAGAAGAAGCCAGGGAGCTTTATAGATAAAGCACTGTTATTCTCTGTGCATATTATACCTGTTCACTGTTTACAGCAACTCCACCAGATAGCTTCTACAGTTGGACCCATTTTTGGAGACGAGAAAACCGAGACATACAGAGGTAAAGACTGAGGTCTTAGGTTGTCAAATGTAGAAGTAAGGTTCAAGTTTAGCCTCAATTCTTGGTCCATGCTGTATTACTTCAATGTTACTTCAAGTTTGTCAAGTGCTTTGTGTCTACATTTAAGGACCTAGATGTTACCTGAAGCCACTGAAGAGGGGGGATGTCACCTGGTTAAGGGTTACCCTGAGGCTGTAGCTCAGTGGCACAGAACTTGCCTAGAATGTGTAATGCCTGGGGTTCACTCTCCAAAACCGAAAGACAAAATAAGGAGAGAAAGGGGCAAGTTAGCTATAATAGTTCATGGAAGAAATGATTTGTGGAGAATGAGGGTAGAGATAAGAGATTCCAACTATATTTAGGAAAGAGATTAAGGGGGTTCTAGTGTTAGAGGCTTGGAGGAATCGAGGAGGATTCTGAGTCTGCTAAGCACCCAGGCAAATGAGAAGGTGATGATTAAAACAATGACACCTCCAAGAGTCTGGGTAAGGTCAAAAAGAACGTTGCAAGTTTCCAGCCAGGTATTTTTTATTATTTTTATTTTATGTGCGTTGGTGTTTTGCTTGCATGTATGTCTGTGTGAGGGTGTCAGATCTTGGAGTTACAGACAGGTGTGAGCTGCCATGTAGGTGCTGGGAATTGAACCTGGGTCCTCTGGAAGAGCAGCCGGGCTCTCAACCACCAGTCAAGTCTTTTAGCTCAAACTCATACAGGATCCAAGTATTAAAGGACATGCTATTTCAGAAAAAAAGGAGAGAGAGAGAGAGAGAGAGAGAGAGAGAGAGAGAGAGAGAGAGAGAGAGAGAGAGAGAGAGAGAGAGAGAGAGAGAGAGTAGTGAGTACAAGTTTCAAGCAAAGATTTGGCTGAATTAACTGAATATAGACACAGAACATAGTTCCACTGTGCTTCACAGAATTTGACAGAAAAGAAGCCCCGAAGGGAGGTTTTCCGGTTTAGAGTACCACACCAGCCATGAAGAGTCTTTTCCCACAGGCAAGGGTTTGCTATTTATTGTAACTTTTGGTGCCAACAGAAACCTCACTTCCAACTGATTTAATGTGACTATAAGTACTCCATCTCACAGTCACTTCAAAACTGAGGGCTAGAGCTAGGTGCGGTGGCGCACACCTTTAATCCCAGCATACACTGAGTGTGATAACAGTGATACAGAGGCAGGTGGATCTCTGTGAGTTCAAAGCTGGCCTGGTCTACAGAGCAAGTTCCAGGACAGCCAGGACTGTTACACAGAGAAACCCTGTCTCAATCAAATCAAATTAAAACAAAACAAAACAAAAATGCTGAGCACTAGAACTTATTCTAGGATTTCCACCTGCGGCTTCCCGGAAAATGCCCCTTCTCCAGTGTTTGGGGTTCCTGGTGCTTCCTTCTGTGGACAGAGGAAAAAAGCAAAGACATCTCTCCATCATGGTGGCCAGCGCGAAAGCTTTGTCCCTTGTTCCACTCACTGAATGTAGCTTGTGCTTATTGCTAAAGTAATCTTTCCTTTACTGATTTGTCTGCTCACTCATCAGATATTTATCCGCTACAACTATCAGTCACCTTTTTTCTTTTCTAAAACTAAATCGTATTACATTAACTTGGCAGTGGTGCTCAAGTACCGTGGTGTGTGTTTGGTCGTCAGAGAACAACCTGAGGATTGCTTCTCTCCTTCTACCACGTGGGCCCTAAAGAGTGACTCAGATCACAGGCTGGGGCAAGGACTTTGCCCCCCAAGTCCTCTCATCGACCTATTTTCCTAAGTCCAAGGAATATATCATCAAATAAAATAGACTAACATTACTACTCTTCAAAGTTTTCATTTTGAGGGCTGGAGAGGTGGCTCAGCAGTTAAGAGCATTGGCTGTTCTTCCAGAGGTCCTTAGTTCAATTCCCGGCAACCACATGGATGAGATCCACCTTGAATGAGATCTGGTGCCCTCCGCTAGCATGCAGACAGAAGACTGTATACACAATAAATAAAATATTTTTTAAAAAGTTTTCATTTTGAGCCAGGTGGTGATGGCACACGCCTTTAATCCCAGGGAGGCAGAGGCAGGTGGATCTCTGTGAGTTCAAGGACAGCCTGGTCTACAAATGGAGTTCCAGGACAGGCAGAACTGTTACACAAAGAAACCCTGTCTCAGAAAATAAAAAAAAAAGTTTTCATTTTGGAGGATTAGACCAAATGATCAAATAATATTTAGGCATGTATTTAATGTTTTAGATGGTGAGATAAGCTAAGAAGAATCAATGAATGAGAAAGGAACAGCAGAGCATGTAGACTAGAGGAGTCCTTTAAGGTTTACTTATGTACACGAGCGCTTTCTGCATGCACTTTATGCCGGAAGAGGGCATCAGGCAGAAGAGGGCATCGGATCCCACTCGAGATGGCTGTGAGCCACCCTGTGGCTGCTGGGAATTGAAGAGCAGCCAGTACTTTTAACCACCGAGCCACCTGTCCAGCCTGAAGAGATGAGTCTTCAGTCGTCACAAAACCCACACTGGAGTACAGACCTCAAAGAGCTGGGGGATGGAGCATGCGTATGTCATGGGGAAAGAGCTTTCAGGTGGAGGCAGCCTGCTCAGAGGCCACGAGGCAGGAACCTGACTGGAGCAGAGCAACAGGTGGGGAAACGGGGGTGTTCTAACAAGAGTTTCTAGCAAGAGGCACCGGGGGTTTTAAATGAAAATTATCGTAATTAATTTTGTATGCTTTTTTTTTTCGAGACAGGGTTTCTCTGTGACTTTGGTGGCTGTCCTGGAACTAGCTCTTGTAGACCAGGCTGGTCTCGAACTCACAGAGATCCGCCTGCCTCTGACTCCCGAGAGCTGGGATTAAAGGCATGCGCCACCACCTCCCCGCAATTTTGTATGTTTTATAAATGTGATTTTGAGAAAATTTCTGAGACCAGCTGTTTTCTGGACCCTTCTCTTCATCACCAGCCAGGCTGCGCAATAGACGAACTTGCACCCCTCCATGAAGATAAATTTACCTGTCCATCACTGGCGCTCTCGGGAGTGGGATGACCATCTCTGAAGCAGTGGCTGCTTCATAGTCAAGGGCAGACTGTGACCAGCCTCCTCCAACTAGCTTCATGCTCCCTCTGGTCTCCATGCCATCTCTCCAGCCTGGCCCAATGCATCTTAATGGAGCTACATGAGAAATAAGTTTAATGATGTAAAATCTAATTAATCCCAGGCTTTTGTTGTTGTCGTCGTCGTTGTTTTGTTTTGTTTTTCAAGACAGGGCTTCTTGGTGTAGCCCTGACTGTCCTGGAACTCACTGTATAGACCAGGCTGACCTCAAACTCACAGAGATCCGACTGCCTCTGCCTCCATAGTATTTGGATTAAAGACATGTGCCCCCCACCACCACCGGGCAAACCCTGGCTTTCCTGGTGAAAGCTGCTTAGCCAGATTGGACCTGGTTGTTTGCATGTACAGTTTATAAAACATAAAGGGACAATTTTATTAATAGGAAAGTGCCAAATCTTTGGGGATTTTCCCCCCAGTTTGGAACTTCAGACTAAGACAAAATTCTACTTTCCTCTCAACAGAAGTTCAAGGATGGGGACTAAAACATTTATGTCGTTGGTTCTTTTTTTGACAAAGTCAGTGAGTTACCACCGACAGTAGACAACTTTGTCAGACCCTTAGAAAATCTTTACACTCTGTTTGATGTCACTGAAGATTACATTTACTTATGAATCTTTTCTTTTACCATCCTTAAGCTCTAAAATGGAGTGGTATTTAAAGTACTTGAAGTTAGACAAGTTTTCCTGGTATTTTGGCAAACAAAGGGCAGGGATTTTTTTTTTTTCAGGCCGTTTTTTAAATCAGACGTTTGACTTCTATGTCTCAATGTCCACCTGGGTAAAAGGCTATCTTTTTGTTACCACCTTCCTGGTTTCTTGCCAATCCCGTTCATGTGGGGTTCAGTGCACATGCTCAAGTGCACTGATTCCCTTCGTGCATAGAGGTGTTCTCTCTCCCACCCACCTGTCGGGCACAGGCAGTACCAAACAATGGCTCTAAGCTTTTGCTTCTCAGTTAAAGTGCTTGGGTTCAAAGCCCAGCTACATCCACCAGCTGTTACAGAGCCCCCTTGTTCCTCAGTTTCCTTAGCTGTTGAAAAGCAGGGTGTGGCGGCAGTGAGAGAAGCCCCTGAGACTATCATGAGGATTAAATCAGATGTCATCTGTTCACACAGTGGTTGACAGGATCTGGGCCTGCCACAGTTATCTGAGGGTCTAGCTAAGGTACAATGTCTATGTCTTTTTGCCACCAAGGAAAATACTTTTTTTTTTTTTCAGTTTGGGATGTGTGTGTTTTCATCTGGTACCTTCTTGTGATAGCTAATCTTGGTTGTCAACTTGACTACATCTGGAATGAAACAAAATCCAAACAGCTGAGCATGCCTGGGGGGACTTTCCTTGGTTGGACTATGTAAGGCGGCAGACCCACCCTAAGTCTGGTCCACATCTTCGGGTGGCAGCCCCCAAAAAAGGACAGAAGAAGGAATCTTTTGTATTTGCCTGCTTGTTCTCACTCTCACTGGCAAGTTCATCTGCCCTGTCCTAAGCCATTCCCACTGGCGTTTGACCTACTTCTTCAGATTCCATCACAGAAGCGCTCTAGGACTCTCCTGGAATCCCGGCACCAGACTGGATGGCCGAGGAATTCAGTCTTGTGAACCGAACAACCACCAGATCCTTGGCCTTTCCAGCAGGGACAGTCGTTGTTGGACTACTTGGAACACAGCCTGTAAGCCACTCTAATTAATCCCTTTATATATATATGTGTGTGTGCATATATATATTCTCTATCAGTTCTGTTCTTTTAGAGAACCCTGACTAATATAGAATGACATGAGTCTTTTGAAATATCAAAGCCTGCCCCCATATTTCTTGGATATATTTCCTCCAGGAACAAGGCCATACCTACCTTTGTGTCCCCAAACAGCCACTAATTGGGGACCAAGTATTCAAATGCCTGAGACTTTTGGGGGGCAACTCATTCAAACCAACACATTGTTCTTCAGAGGATCTGAGTTCAGTTCCCAGCACCCATGACTGACAGCTCACAACAACCTGTAAGTCAGGCTCCAGTGGAGGGAGCATCCTCTGAAGGACGCTACTCATGAATGTGCACACTTGAGTGTGCTCATGAGTGTGTACACACACACACACACACAAATGCATGCACACAAACACACAAACACACACATACAAATGCATAAGCGCACGCACACACAAGCACACACACCCTTTAAGACCTTCTGTAACAATGCTATCCTCTGAGAGAGGCTCTCTTGGCTCTTTAATTGCCTTTGAAAGTGACATCACTGAAAATCACCACACTGGGAATTTGGGAGGAGACAAATGCAAATTGCAGCAAATAAAGTGTGAGACTGACCTTGCTTCTTTGTCATTCAGGTTTTCGGCACTGCCTAGCCTTCCTGAAGCTCATGTAGAACGGTTTTACAAAGACAGGCAAGATACAAGGAGTCTGGCATTGGGGATGCCATGGGTTGGGCCGCAGTATTGATGGTCAGAAGCAGCAGCAGGTAAAGGTAACATCTGGGTAAGGACTTCTAGAGGGAGGTGACCAGGAGGACAACTACAGGAACAGTGTCAGAGAAATTGGGTGGTGCGAAGGTCCTGAGGCCGGAATAGGCTCAGGGAATGGAGGAGCAACAAAGAGAGGTCACTGTGCCTGGAGCAGGAATGAGAAGGGGAGTAACCGAGTGGCTAGACAGGCAGTGGAGTCAGGTCCCGTAGGACATCATCAGCCTTTGCTGTGGCCTTCCGCGCATTGGGTTGCACCTCGTTGCAGCCTTTACTCGTTACCTCCTTCCGGTGAGCACAGGTTCTTTTTAGGCTAAGAGAGCAAGGTGAGCTGGATTCAAAAGGTAACTTTCCACAGCTACTAAATGCAATGTGCAGGACTCAATGTGCCGGGGTCCACGATTCCAGTTCACCCTCTGCACCACCCTATACCTTAAATGCTGAGTGAGAGTCAAGTGAAAGCCCCGGCCACCCTTGAACCAACGCTGTGAGAGGACAGCCATGTGGGGGGACAGAGTCCCCGGGTGAAGAGCCCACAGAGCTCTTCTTGTGATCAACCTTGCGGGGCTGTGGTGTGAAGGCAAGCCGGACTCCCTAGCCCAGTGTGTTCTAAGAGGTGAAGACTAATCGAGACTCAGGAGTGATATGGAAGGAAACAAGGCTTCAAAGTCAGAGGAAGGATGACGCTATTTGGACAAGGATGGTCACAGTCTGCCCTTGACCCTGAGAGCGCCAGCGGTGGACAGGTAAGTTTACCTTTGCTGAGGGGTGCAAGTTTGTCTATTGGGCAGCCTGGCTGGTGATGAAGAGAAGGGTCCAGAAAACAGCTGGCCTAGGAAGCTAGGGTGGCAGTGTCTTTATTCTTGAGGCATGACTCACAGCCTGTTGGAGAGTACAGCTTCTTTGCACCTTTCACGGGAAGAAGCACGTCTAAGACAAAGTATTCAAGGACGCCTTTAACATTTCTGCGGCTAGGATGTGACTGGACCTTCCTGCAGAACAGGAGCCCATGGAGGGCGTTTCTCATTCAAACCACCACGCCCCACTTCGTGGTCATCAGGTTCATGACCGTATCACGATGCAAAATGCGTTTAGTCCGGCTTTAACAGTCCCCATAAATCTAACAATCTCAACATCATTCAAAAGTCCAGAATTGCCTGAGATTCAAGGCAATCTGTTAACTGTGACCACTCTAAATTCAAAAAGCAAATTACATACTTGCAACATCCAATGGCACAGAATATACATTCCCAGTCCAAACAGAAAAAACAGGGGAATAGTGAGGAAATATTGGATCAAAGAAAGACTGAAACCCAGCAGGGCAGCTACCAAACCGTGCAGCTCATGTCCAGTGTCTGGGACTTTTTCATGGGGCTTAGATGGCTCTGCCCTCCGGCTTTGCTGCCTGCCGTATGCAGCATTTTCTTGGGCTGGCTTTATGCTCTGTATGCAGCTTTCCATGGTCTCATGGCTCTGCACTCTCCAATATCTTGGGTTTTCCCTACTGCATCCCACACTTCATTTTCACAGCTTCATGTAATGGCTTCTCAAGGCCTTTTTGTCCTCTCAATGCTTCTGGTAATGCCCTCAGCACTACCATACCCTGTCTGGCTTTGGTGGCTTTCTGAAACTTCAGGGGAAGAAACCACCATCCCCTTGCGATTGTGTCTTTCAGGCTTCCAAAACCAGTACCCAGTGGAAGACCTCAGCAAGTTTACTGCCGACCTGAGATTGACCTCAACCCTTTGAGTCACATCTGCGACCACCCTTGTACATTGCTGTCTTCCTGAAGCAGAAAACTCTCCAGGCTGATAGTTGGGAGCTTAGCTAGGTGGGATATTGCCCTGAGGTGATCTTTCCTATTGTGTTAGTGAAGGGGGGGGGCTTCTCCTTAATATGCTAGTCCCTTAACAAGAACATCCTCTTTCAGTACTTGCATTAAGCTTCCTAGGGCTCTGTTTTCTCTAAATTGCACTTTTTAAAATTTCTTTCTGTCCCACTTGTTTTTCTTTGTAGACCTGCACAAGAGCTATTAGTAGCAACCATGCCGCAAATTAACTTCCCTAGAGTCTATGAGTTGGTTGTTAGTTGATTTCCAAATCTCTACAAATTTATCAAAAGTCATTGGAATTAAACACTTAAAATGAGTACTGTTGGGCCTAAGAAAGGCTTGGATGTGAGGCCCAGTCTAACCTCTTGAGCCTGGCTAGAGTTCAGCGACCTGTCTCTAACCTGTAACCTCCACGTGAGGGTGACTCAGCCAGATCTGATGCAAGATTGCCCCCTGCCTAGCTACCTGCCTGCTTGGTGGAATACTATTGGCCCTTAACTCCTCACATCACCTTACCCTATCCTAAGATTCCCATGCCCTACCTCAGTTCCTGCCTGTTGGAATAAATCGTGATCCTGCTTCGACAGACTCCCGACTCTGTGTGTGTTGTTTTTCTCCCCAGTAACTGATGGGGGGAGGGTCTGAGTTGTCGACACTCACCATCCCTCTCAGCCCCCAGGAAGAGGCCAGCTGGACCAGCCCTTCCCCCCCCCCACCTGCTGGAAGGACCCTGCAGAGTACATAAAAAAAACTTGCTTATTATTATGTATAGTGTTCTGCATGTATGTATGCCTGCAGGCAACAAGAGGGCACCTGATTTCATTACAGATGGTTGGGAGCCACCATGTGGTGGCTGGGAATTGAACTCAGGACCTTTGGAAGAGCAGGCAGAGCTCTTAACTACTGAGTCATCTCTCCAGCCCAAAATGAGCACATTTTTATGATTTATAAATTCTACCTCAATAAAACTGTTATAAAATTTCCTTCCATTAGGGGTGGTAGCTCATGCCTTTAATCCTAGCACTTGGCAGGCAGAGACACAGAGATGAAAAGATCTGAGTTTAGACCAGTCTGGTCTGCCTAGTGAACTCCTGGCCACCCAGGGCTACATAGTGAGACCCTGTTTCAAACCACTCTCCCCTCCCCACAAGCTTCCCCCAAACAATTTAGTCTTACATTAAGAGAAACAAAGAATTCATGGAATAAGTTGCTTTATTGTGTCCCACTTTAAAACTGACTATATTGGGTGTTTTGCTACACTATTATTATTGTAGCATGTGTGACTGTAAGCCTGTGAGAGCCAGTGTGCATGTGCAGGTCAGAGGTCATCTTTGTGGAGTCAGTTCTCCCCTGCTACCGCCCTGAGTTCTGGAGATTGAACTGGGGTTGTCAGGCTTGGTGGAAAAGCACCTTTACCCTCTCAGCTACTTTGCTGGGCCTGGTTTGTCTTTTGAAATGGGTCTTGCCAAGTTTCTGGAGATGTTTGATCCCTGGACCCACATGGTGGAAAGGAAGGGCTCTGATTTTCACAAGAACAGCATGGAGTGCATCCCTACCACACACAAGATAATTAAGTGTAAAAAAGAACAGCATGGAGTCCTACAACATTCTCACCTCAGTGGTTTCCACCCCCTTTGGTGACCACCTCCTTTCTACATATTTATCATCTGGAGTGAAGACTAATGTGACAACCCTATTTCAAATGTGAGACACTGCTCACTTATCAGAGAGATAATGACTACATTACTGAGATTTCATATTTGGAGCCATATTGCTGCCACTTATTATTAGTGTGTTCTCTGCTGAGTTTTGTTTCTGAGCTGCCTTTTTCTCATTTAAAATTGGAATCATCAACACCTACCTACTTCATAGGTTGTTGTGATATGCAAATGAATCCAGGTAAACATTTGGGGCACTGGCCAGCACATGCAAACTGAAGATCAACACTAGCTCTACATGGAGGACTAGGGTTCCTTTGCTTCCATGTGTCCAGAGTTGCCTAGTTCTTTATGCTTAGAGTTGGATTAGAGACTCTAAACCACAGTCACATTCGACTCTTTGCCCTACTGTCATTATACACCTATAAGGTTTCTAATTTAAGCTAAAAATAAATGAACTTGAAATTTATTAATTTGTTGTTGGGAAATGAGAAAAATCCCTCTAAATAATGAAAATAGCATTAAGTGAGAGCAAAACACCAAAACTGCCTCAAGGCTACCCGTTCACACATCAATGCACACTGCCATTTCGAGGATAACAGCTCACACTCTTGCCTCAAGACTACCGGCTCACATGTGTACACTCACAACATTCAGTGGCTTATTGAAGGAGAGAACCAAATTCCACAAGCTCTTTTGACCTCCATTACACTGTGGCAAGTGCATGTGCCCTGTCACCAACACACACATTTAAAACAAAAATATTCAAATGTGGGATGAGGAGAATGAGCAGAGTAGCCAGCTTAAGGGAGAGAGCAGGGTTAGTCATTCCAACCTACCCACCAGCACCACGTCCTCAAGTTTTCTGAACATTACTCAAGTTGGTGACATTTACAACCAGTGCTTGCCTAGTTTGCTATTTTGGGTATCAAGTGTTAAATGACTCCTGAAGTTTTCTTTTGTTGTCGTTGTCTTTCAAGACAGGGTCTCCCTGGCTGTTGTAGAACTCACTGTGTAGGCTGGCTTTGGAGCTCACAGAGGTCTGCAGGCCTCTGCCTCCTAAGTGTGCCTAGTCTGAAGTCTTCTTTTCCATGAAATTGAATAATTTGTTATGGAGATTACCTTCTTCTCAGGATATTCCCCTCCCTCCCTTTTTTGTCAACTTGACACAAAATAGAATTATCTGTGAAAAGGGATGTTTCTATAAGATTGGCCTATAGAGAAGCCTGTGGAGCATTTAATTAGTGATTAACGTGGAAGGGCAAAGCATGTTGTGGGTGATGCCATCCCTGGCCAGGTGCTCCTGGGTGCTATAAGACAGCAGGCTGAGTAAGCCATGAGGAGCAAGTCAGTAAAGAGCACCCTTCCATGGCTTCTGCCTTCAGATCCCTGCCCTGACTTCCCTCTGTGACTGTCCTGTGGAAGTGTAAGCCACAATACCGAGACACTAACCGTGACTCAACGATCCCACGTGGAGTTTTTTTTTTAAAGATTTATTTATTTATTTAACATATTCTGCCTGCATTTATGTCTGCAGGACAAAAGAGGGCACCAGGTCTCATTATAGATGGTTGTGAGCCACCATATGGTTGCTGGGAATTGAACTCAGGACCTTTGGAAGAGCAGTCAGTGCTCTTAACCTCTGAGCCATCTATCCAGCCCCCCATGTGGAGTTTTATTGGTGGTCGGGGAAGGAAAGGGGGGTGAGAGGTAACCAACCCGTGCAGAGCTGAGAGAGAGAGAGAGAGAGAGAGAGAGAGAGAGAGAGAGAGAGAGAGAGAGAGAGAGAGAGAGAGAGAGAGAGAGAGAGAGAGGGAGGGAGGGAGGGAGGGAGGGGGAAAGATGAGAGTAAGACGAGTAAAAGAAGAGTAAAAGAGAGCATAAGAGGGCAGGGGTCAGTCCTTTAAAGGGGTCCTTTGCACCTTCGTGGATCTCACAGAACTCTGGGCTGGCCAGAGTGCTGCCTGGTGCATCCTGCCAGGTAACAGGGCAGGCCAGAGTAATGCCTCAACCTTTCACACAAGTTGCTTTTGGTTATGGTGTTTTCTCATAGCAACAGAAGCCTTAACTAAGAAGTAGGACAAAACTAAATTTATTCTCCAAATGTCAAGGATAAAATGATTACACAGTGAATCAAAGCAGTTAAGCTTCAGGTAACAGACACTGGCGTTGGCCTTGTGACACAAAGATGCACAACACAAGAATGATACCAAAGAATTTATTGTAAATGCCATGGCAAATACACCAAGCCTCATCATCATTACAAAGGAACTAGAAAAGTTCATGTTGAAAGTATGTGCTTTTTCCCCCGCCATCTTCAGGCTAATGGCTAGTTCCAATATTTTAGGTAACAAAATATTTAATGGGATGGTTGATCCTCACATAATTTCAGGACTGTATCTTTATCTTAACTTTAAAAGCAGTTAACCATGGATTTCTGCATCAATTATTCTCTGTCTTTATCAATTCCGTAATGATTTGTAGAATCTTGTCATCTGAGGGAATAGAAAAATAAGTCAAAACACCTATGAAAAAAGGTAACACTGGCTAATTTTCTAATTACATGCACATGTGTAAACAAAAGGTGTACTTCATGACAAGACTTTCTTAAATTAGATCGTAAACCAACACCAGTAATGTATACTATGATACCAGAGATGTACAAAAAGTCCAATCTATTGTCCTACAAGGGTTATGTAAATGATATTAATTATTAAAGTTGTCTTTGCCTACTTCAAAAAGTTAACGTTTTGTAAAAAGAAGTTAATATTTGAGTACTTATAGGCAAAGGCCCAAAATAATGAGCTCTCTCTCTCTCTCTCCTCCCGCCCTGCTTCTTTCTTTCTTTCTTTCTTTTTTTTTTTTTTTGGTTTTTCGAGACAGGGTTTCTCTGTGGCTTTGGAGGCTGTCCTGAACTAGTTCTTGTAGACCAGGCTTGGTCTCAAACTCACAGAGATTTACCTGCCTCTGCCTCCCGAGTGCTGGGATTAAAGGCATGCACCACCACCGCCTGGCCTAAAGTTTTTCTTTTTGAGACAAGGCCTTGCTATGTTGTAGCCCGTACTGGGCTGGAACTCATGATCCCTCTGTGTCAACATCCCCAGTGCTGGGATTACAGATATATACCACTAAGCCCAACCTGTTATTTCTATAACCTATTAGGTCTTCAGAAATTCCTTCAAGAAACTCCTCATTTTTTCCCACTGAGCTGAAATACACTGAAGACTTCATTGATTCTCCCTGTTTTGCAGTGTAACAGGTTTTTAACCAACAGTCAAAGGTGGCAATGATTTTAATCTCTCCAGGCTTGGACCAAGGAAACACAAATCCTAAAAGGGAAGTGCTCCCAGAGAGGTGTCAATGGGGGAAGTGACAAGCTTATCTACTGACAGAGAGGTGACATTATTTGCTAAGGTGGGCGCATTAACAGCTCTGGATCTTGACTTCCTGTGAATCTCATAGCCACTGTCAGAAAGCTGTTGTTGTAGGGCTGCAAGACTGACATCCTATTTATAGTAAGTCCTATGGTTCCTGGTCAGAGTCTTAAGACTTTTGACCCGGGCTTCGGCCTGCTTCTCAGGTGCTCAGGGAATGGTATTAAAGAAAGAAAGGAGGAAGTAGAAGTGGGAGGGGGAAGAGGAGGCTCCTTGCTGTGAGTGGACAATGCTTACCCTAAAAGGAGAGTAGAGAGAACAAGAAAGCATGAGGGTAACTTCAGACACTTCTTCAAGAGTGTGAGTTGCTGTCACAGCATTTCTTCATAATGAAGCCACAAGGAAAAATCACTA